GAAAATTGAATGTTAATATTCATATGGAATTTCAAGGAACCCAGAATAGCCACAACAATGTTGAGAGAGAAGAACAAAGTTCATGGACTCACACTTCTTAATTTCACAACTTTTTACAGAGCTACACTAAGGCAATGTGTTACTGCCATAAGGATAGACAAAGAGATGAATGGAATAGAATTGAGTCTTCACAGCTATGGTTGATTTTGAAAAAGGGTTCCAAGACAGTTAAAAGGGGGAAAGAAGAGTATTTATAACAAATGATGCTAGGACAATTAGATATCCACATGTCAAAGAACTAAATTGGACCCTTTCCTCAGACCACATACAAAAATTAACTTAAAGTGGATCCAAAGACTAAATATAAGTTCCCAAGCTATAAAACTCTGAGAAGAAAACAAAGTCACAAATATTTAGGACATTGGATTAAGCAATGGTTTCTTAGAACACCAAAAGAATAAAGCAACAAAAGAAAAAAATAGATAAAACTGAACATCACAAAAATGAAAACTTTTTTGCTTCAAAGGACACCAACAAAAAGGTGAAAAGATAATTCATAGAATGGGAGAGAATTTGGGGAAATCATCTATCTGATAAGGGTCTAGTAGGCAGAATATTTAAAGAACACTTAACAACTCCATAACAAAAAGACAAATTACCTGATTAGAACATGGGCAAATCAATCTGGATAGATATTTCTCCAAAGAAGATATACAAATGACCAAAAAGCAAGTGAAAAGATCCTCAACATCATCAGCCATTAAAGGAATGGAAGTCAAAACCACAATGAGATAATACCTCATACACACCAGGATGTCTATAATAAAAAAGACAGATAGTAACAAGTATTGCTGAGGATGTGAAGAAATTGGATTACCAGTGGCAATGTAAGAGTCCAGGCCCTTTGGAAAACAGTCTGACTGTTCTTTAAACCATTAAACATAGAGTGACCATTTGACCCAGCAATCCCACTTTCAGGTACATACCCAAGAGAAATGAAAATGTAAGCCCACACAAATACTTATACGTGAATGTTCATAGCAGCATTATTCATGGTAATCCAAAAGGGGAAACCCAAATGTCCATCACTATGAATGGATAAATTAACTGTGTATATCCATACAGTGGAATATTATTCAATAAATAATGAACTACCGATATATGCTACAACATAGATGAACCTTGAAAACATTATGCTAAAGAGGCCACTCACAAAAGACCACATATTGTGTGGTTCTACTTATGTGAAGTGTCCAGAATAAGCAAACCTATAAGTGTAAAAAATAGATTCATGGTTGCTTAGGGCTGGGGGATGAGGAGTCAGGGTGATCACTAAGGGATGTGGGGTTTTGGGGGAAGGTAATGACAATATTCTGAAATTGATAGTGGTGATAAATGTATAGCTCTGTGAATATACTAAAAGCCATTTGATTGTACACTTTAAATGGGTCAAATGTATGGCATGTGAATTATATGTCAGTGTTTTAAAGAAAGAAAAAAAAAAGTTTGGTTGTGTGGTCATGTGTTCAGCTGAAACTTCTATTGCTATGGAAGAAAAGGGGAATATATATTTGGGGACAGTAAGCAATCTCTTACATAGGGAGTACTATAACTTTTGGCACTGTTAGTTTCTTTTTTTAAAAAGATTTTATTTATTTATTTGACAGAGAGAGACATAGAAAGAGAGGGAACACAAGCAGGGGGAGTGGGAGAGGGAAAAGCAGGCCTCCTGCAGAGCAGGGAGCCCCATGTGGGGCTCGATCCCAAGAACCCTGGGATCACGACCTGAGCCAAAGGCAGACACTTAAGGACTGAGCCACCCAGGCGCCCCTGTTAATAAGTTTCCAATTTAGTATCAAATCATGTTACATTAAGAATGCCCAGCATCACTCCCTGCTCAACAGGGAGCCTGCTTCTCCCTCTGCCTCTGCCCCTCCACCCCTCACCCCCCATCCCCCTGCTGCACGCTCTCTTTCAAATAAATAAATAAATAATTTTGTTAAAAGAATGCCCAGCATCAATACAGTAATTTATTGAATCAGTGTGATATTACAAGAGCAATGAAGTTAAGAGTCAGATTATTTGAATGCTAGTCCTGGCTCTACCCTTTACTAGCTTTATAACCTTGATAAGCCACAGTCTCTCATTGAAAAGGTAAAGATTAAACCAGATGACTGCTACAGGCCCATTAGGTTCTAAGATCATTTGGTTCCAACTGTACAAATTTATCTTTTCACAGGTTGTTTCCTCCCCATTTGCTGTTTCGAGTCAAGCACTTGTTTAGTGTGTTTCCTTGAGTGTCCTTCATGTATATCACCCACTTTAAATATTGTTTAAATAATATTTACTTCTCATCCTCAAATAGTTGATCTTTAATTTTCTTTGTCCTTTCCAAGTCTGTATTTTACTATATGAGGTACTAAATGTGAATGAGAGCTTTTCTCCTCAACATTTATTATAGATTCTTAGGGCTGAATTCAACATCAGGGTAACAAATCCAAAGTCCTGACTTTAAAGATTTTATTTATTTATTTTGACAGAGAGAGAGAGAGACAGCGAGAGAGGGAACATAAGCAGGGGGAGTGGGAGAGGGAGAAGCAGGCTTCCTGCTGAGCAGGGAGCCCGATGTGGGGCTCAATCCCAGGACCCTGGGATCCGGACCTGAGCCCAAGGCAAATGCTTAACGACTGAGCCACCCAGGCGCCCCCAAAGTTCTGACTTTAAACAGGAAAACATTCAACTACAACTTTAAATATTGTTGATGAAGGAGATTCCCCGAATTATTTGGCAGTAATTTCCAAAGAAGAAATCTTAGTTATAGCTAACCCAAACCCTTCAAATCCATCTGTCTCCAATTAAGGGAAATTCATCTCTAAATACCATTTTTCTAGATGTTTTGCTCTTAATTATAATTACACTTAATCATTCTTAGTTATTTAAAAAGCCATGTTTATATTGCCATAGTCTCTGTTATCTAATAAATATTTTTCAAGACTCCTCTGATTCCCATGTTATATTCCTTCTTACCTGTCAAAATAGGAGAATCTAAAGGACTTAGTTTCATAAATCAATACATAGGAACCTTCAGTACTTTTTAGGGAAGTCGTGTTTTCAATCCCATGGGTCTCTAAATTGCTCCTATGTATGCTGTACTCACAGAAGGGAAATGGGCCCAGGAAGAAAAGACCATGTAAGCTCACTTTGGGGTGGGGTGGGGGTAGGATAGGGGAGCGGTATCCACTGCCATAATACACAATGGGGAATGTTTAGAAATAAAAATAATAATTACTGATTTTTCATTTTTGTTGCAGTCTTTTTCTATAGAAATTAAGATTTCTCAAATGACTACTTAACTGCATAAAATCATCTGGGGGCTTTGAACACTGCAGATTCCTAGTTGTGACCTCCTAATTTTCTGATTTGGTAAGTACTGAAGAATGCACCATTTTTACATATCTCCTACATGATTCTTATGTACACTAGAGTTTGAGGATGACAGCAGCCTACAAAAAAAGTCTTTTCCTCTTTTCAGTGCTTCCAGAATGAAATCAACTTTTAATAATAAGAGTTTCTACTATGGTGATCCTTATGCAGTAACAAAGACTATAATCCTTAAAAATATAAAACTACCAAGGTTTTGGCACAGAATCTGCAACTTATTACAATTTAAATTGTCATAGAGAAATACATGTGGTTCACTACACAGATTATTTCATTCTGTCTGCTTAAAGATTATCTGTAATTATAATTATCTATATGCTATAGTATATTTGTATTATATTTATATTTAACCATTTATGGCTTAAATCTTAAATTAGGCCTTTCTATATAGGCAGCACATCTCTTTTAGCAGAAAAATTGTTTACTTTTACACTGTTTAATAAAAATATTTATCATTTGGATACACAATTCTTAGCAGTTTAATGTGTTTTTTGGTTTTTTTGTTGTTTTTTTTTTAAAGATTTTATTTATTTGACAGAGAGAGACACAGCGAGAGAGGGAACACAAGCAGGGGGAGTGGGAGAGGGAGAAGCAGGCTTCCCGTGGAGCAGGGAGCCCGATGCGGGGCTCGATCCCAGGACCCTGGGATCATGACCTGAGCAGAAGGCAGACGCCTAACGACTGAGCCACCCAGGCGCCCCAGCAAGTTTAATGTGTTTTAACTGATGTCTGATTTACGTACTAAAAAGGAAAGCCCAGTGAACTATAAAATGGTTAATGTACACACAGCAAATAGAAGAAATTATTGACTATGAAATCAATCCACTGATGTAAGCCAACATCTTCACTGAAGAAATTATATTTTTTAAAAGAAAAAAATCCTATTTGAAGTGATGACAGTTACAGTATGTGAGTTATACTAGAGTTATGCATTTAATTTACTGGGATTAAATAATCCTAGAGGGCTAGGGAGAAAAATCATTCTATCAAGAATGGACATTCCATTCCTGCAGCTACAATACAATTTTATTCTTATCATAATGTCATTGCCTGAATCTGGGCAAAATTAATTGAAGAAGCCAACCTATCTCCTTAGACTAATGCTTCCCAAACTTTGGAAAGCACAAGAATCACCGGTATGCTTGTTAAAATGCAGAATTCTAAACTTTATCTCCCAGAGATTCTGATTCAGTATATCTGGAGTTGGGCCAAATAATCCACATATTAAAATGCACCTTAACTGTTTATGATATACAGCTGATCTACAGACCCCACTTTTAGAAACACTACCTTAGGCTGAGATGATTTTCTTTTTTAACCCTCCAGCCATGAATCACTAAATTGTACACGTGAAACTAGTATTACACTGTATGTTAACTACCTGGAATTTAAATAAAAACTTTTTTAAAAAAGGAAAAATAAATAAAAAGTTATACCAAAAAAACAAAACAAAATAAAACAAAAACAGTCCGTTGGATAATTAATACCTGTAGGTGGCCAAAAGAAGGAGCAAACTCCCAACGGAGTTCCATCATCCTCTTCTGAAGTTCAGATGAAGAGTCGTATTCCTTGTTAGATACCTTGTTTCCTTTTTTTTTTTTTTTTTTTTTGAGGCGAGGAGCCCTAGAATTTAATTTGGGATATCCAAGTCTATTCTTAAGCAAGAATAAACAATACTTAAGAATAAATAATACTATTTCTATAACTTTAAAGGAAATATATAAAGAATTCTTCAGTTGATTTCATCATAAGCTTTCCTCTATATCATTTTGTTTTCTGAATTAATTTGTGCAATATGAAAACAGAAGGCTAGAAAATGCAAACCTTGTTAACAATAGAAGAATTTTGGGAAAAGTTCCTTTATTTATTTTACAAGGCTGATAGTTCTGAAGTTTTAATTTTCTAACTTCTTTTAATTCTACTTCAAGAGAAAAAAGTTTGAAATTCATTTTTCTCTGAAAGGGTTGAAAGAAACTTACAGTATAATGCCATTTACATGAGTCATTCAAAAGCAGTTACAGCATATAGAGTCTAAAGGGCATTACTTGGGGCGCCTGGGTGGCTCAGTTGCGTCTGCCTTTGGCTCATGTCATGATCCCAGGGTCATGGAATTGAACCCCCCATGGAGCCCTGCATCGGGCTCCCTGCTCAGTGGGAAGCCTGCTTCTCCCTCTCCTGCTCCCCGATTGTGTTCCCTCTCTCTGTGTCTCTCTCTGTCAAATAAAGAAAATCTTTAAAAAAAATAAAGGGCATTACTTAAAGGCACTCAGCCCTTGCTCTACTAAAAGCAGGATTTTTTTTTTTCTTCTTACCTTGATCTACTTCTATTTTCTATTAACCACTTTAAGTAGTCAGTAGAGTTGAGTGTTATTCTTAGTTTAACCTGCCTGCAAAGACATTTCATTCAATAAGTACTTATCAAGGAACCACTGTCCACATAAAGTTTTACCAAATGCCTTGGGAGACAGGAAGAAAGAAAGGGAGGGAGCAACTAAAGGAGGGAGAGAGGGAGGGAGGAAGGAACGAGAGAGGGAGGGAGGGAAGGAAGAAGGGAGAGATGGAGGAAACAAGGAAGAAAATTTTGGCCACGTGTATTGATTTGTAATCTATCTTGGCTAGCAGTTATATGTATTATCTAGCTCTATATGTACTTACAGATCTATTCCTAAGTCACCTTGACTCAATTTCCTCTATGATCATGATTGGCTAACAGCTGCTTTAGCTTCCCTGCACTGATTCAGCATCTGTATTAGTAAGTCTTGATAGCATTTCTTTTTCATGGCATGCCAATAATTATTCTACTACAACATGTCTAAAAGCTGTTTGGGGATCTACTGTTATCTATCCTTGGCTTATACCTGGCCAGCTGAAATGTAATCAGCACAATTTATAAGCTCCAGGCCCCCACGTTTGATGGATATTTATTATAATTTGATGCTAAGAATTTGGTGACATTGCCTACAAAGTTAAAATAATCTCATAATCACTTGGGGCACCTGAGTGGCTCAGTTAAGTGTCTAACTTTTGATTTCAGCTCAGGTCATGATCTCAGGGTTGTGAGATGGAGCCCCGTGCTTGGCTCTGCACTGGGTGTGGAGCCTGCTTAAGATTTTCTCTCCCTCTATCTCTGCCCATTCCCCACCCCTCTCCTCTCTCTCTTAAAAAAATTATCTCATAATCACTGAAGACCTTGGTATGGCTATTACTTTCTGTACTGTATTAGTTTTAGAGCTCATTGCTAAAAATATCTTCCATATTTTTGTCAACTAGTAGTTGACTCAATTTCTTATAATTGTTATCCATGACATATATGTGTAGTGATACAGTAGATGGACACATTGGTCAATTTTAGATCTAAAAATATTTTGCTTTGTCTTAATTTCCTTAGGGTAGGCTATTCTACTGTCTGTATTAGTTTTCTATTACTACTATAACAAATTACCATAAACTTAGTGGCTCGAGACAACATAAATGTAGTATCTATTTCTATGGTTTAGGGGTCTAATACAGGTCTCACAGGCCTGAAGTCAAGGCACTGACAACACTGTCCCTTTCCAGAGGCTTTAGAATAGAATTCATTTCCTTGTCTTTTCCTGTTTCTGGAAGCCATTTACATTCCTCAGCTCATGGCCCCTTTATTTCATCTTCAAAGCCATACCTCCATTGTCATCTTTACCTTTGACCACAGCCAAGAAAGTTTCTCCACTTTCAAGGATTCATGTGATTAGATTGGGCCCAATTGACTAATACAAGATAATCTTCCCATCTCAAGGTCCTTAACCTTAACCAAACCTGCAATGTCCATTTTGCCACATAAGATAATACATTCACAGGTTCTGGGATTAGGACATTGACATCTCTGCGAAGCCACAATTCTGCCTTCTGGGCTGTCAGTCGATAGGTAAAATGACTGTGACACATGCATTTGATCTGTTATGTATCTCTTCTTTTGTAATTAGAGAACCTTCATAAGCATGTGAATACTTTTCTGTTATATTCTACTATGGCTTCCAAGTACATTGTTTTATCCTTCAGAATACCTACACAGAAAAGACTGTGGGTAAAGATGGAATTTTAATATTATCCTTCTTAGCCCCTTTAGTGATTGGTTTTCTCTGACATGGGATACCATTAATTTTAACACAACTGTCTATGTTATTGCATAGCAGCTTTGTGATTTTAATGAATTTGTTTAGACGTTTGTTTAGGAACTGCCCCAGTTGATGAGGGAAAAAAATTCCGTAAGTAATTGATACTATATATTGAGCTCTATTAAGAGTTTCACATTCATTATTTCATTCTCTTTTTACTGAATCCTATGAAATACATCTATTATTCTCATTTTACAGATGAGGAAACTAAACTTTTCAATGTTACAGAACTAGCAAGTAGCAGAATGGGGCATTCATATATAGGTCTTTCCAATCCCAAAATGTATACCCTTTCCATTATATTCTATAAACATTTCCACAAACATTAAGTTAAATTACATGTAGCAGTGTATTATTATTTCCTGCACATCTCATGAATCCTTCCTAATATAGAAATATGACAAATATATTACATAATAGCCTTGGGTCACTGATTTCTAAAATTTTAGAAATCCATCACTGATATAGTTCAGAAGGATCTAAACAGTAGTTTGCTGGCTAGCAACAGAAAGCAATGGTAAATATTTTATAAAATCATCTTCTTGAGGTCTTCTAACAGGCCCTTAATAGGGTCTGTAGTGTCCTATTGCTTAGAGATACCTGGAAGACAAAATCATGAAAAATGCCTCATTTAATGTTTACATCACTCCTGGAACATACATGTATTCTTTAAGACCTACTATTATATTATTCTAAAACTCTTTGTAAGCAGTTTAAATCTTTTTGCTATTTAAGCCAAAATGAAGAGAAGGATTGACCAAATAGAAAAACTGAATAATAATTCAGTCATCTCTTGGGAGAAAACAAGTTAATCTCTCTGGAACCTATATAGTTGCAGAATCAGTGGATCATTACACAACTCTCTACTTCACGTTGGATGTGTAGATTTTCAAAATCCATGAGCATAAAAGAAAACCTTTTTAAACTCTTGCACAAAACTGATATAAAGTAAAAATGATCAAGTATATAGAGTTAAGATCAATATTTTAACTTGTTTTATTAATTAAAATATTAACATATCTAAAATGACTTTGCTTTCTAAAGTTCATTGATTATTTTGAAGTTTGGGAAAGGACTCGGAGGCTGCTTAACATTTCTATTTTTTTCATGAAGTGATTATTTATCAACCTTAAAATCTGTCAGTAAATATAAATAAGTATAAAACAGGCAGATTTTCCCTACTAGCAACCTTGATTCGATCTATATCACTTGATGTATCACTATATTGATCTAGGATAACCCAATTCTTTCTTGGAAAAGTTTCCCACCATACAAGTACATTTCATTAAAAAATATCTAGGAACCACAGGATGTACTATGTCTCTTAAGAGTTTTTTGTTGTTCATGATAGAATTCTAGACCTGTAAAGACTATTTGATTTGTTTATTGATTCAATTCAGTTTAGTTCTATTGTCATTCAGTGAGTATCTACTATATCATTCAGTGAGTATATCAGCTATACCATAGGCTGACATCAACCTTCAGGGTAGTGTCAGCTTTCAGAGCATTTTGTGTGCACTTCCAAAAAGAATTCAAGTAGCAACTCAGATTAATCAATTCCCAGACTTCATTCCCGTGTTAAAATGAAACTTTCCAGATCCCTTAGGGTAGGAGATATAATTTTGTTTGTTCTAATTTTTTTAATTTAAATAACTTGGGACACCTGAGTGGCACAGTCGGTTAAGTGTCCGGATCTTGGTTTCAGCTTAGGTCATGATCTCAGGGTTTTGATCTCAGGGTCCTGAGATCGCTCCCCGCATCGACCTCTGCTCAGTGCAGAGTCTGCTTAAGATTCTTTCTCCCTCTTTCTCTGCCCCTGCCCTCCACTTGCTTTCTCTCTCTCAAATAAATAATCTTTAAAAAAAATCTTAAATAACTTTCATTGCAGCAGTTCATTAGAGTCCCCAAAACTTCTTACTATCTTACCACAGATTTACTTCACCCGTTTACATTCGCTACATAGTCTAACCCTTGCAAGAATTTGAGTTTTATCCCTTGAAGAGTCTAATCACCCTCTTTTATAATGAGGAAACTAATGCTCAGGGAGATTAAATGACTTGACCAGCGTTACCCAGCTAGTTAGTAGCACTGAGCCAAACTCAAAATCCAAGTATACTAGCCCTTTGTACAAGACATTGTATTCATTTCACTACTTTTTCTTTCTCTTTGTTAGAACCTAACATTTGCCTGAAATAAGGAGCCTCTGTATTTTTGTTGTTGTTTTAAAAACTGTATCATGTCACTTAACAATTTTTATTCATATCTCAAGTTTCAAAATATCATTAACAGATTAAACACTTTACTACATACTGTTTTGGTGTTTGCACTACTCCCCCGCCTTTCCACTGCCTTTTAGCTATTTAGAGAGCTAGTAATGGGAGAAGGGAATTAAAAAATTACAAAATAGAAAAGAATGGTTTAGAGGGGTGAATAAAATCAGGGGGAGAAGGGGTTATCAGAGGGAATAACTGTAGAGGAATAACAAAGTAGAAGGAAAAAGTGAAATAGTGCTTACTGAAGACCAAACATGGTAAGAGTTGAAAAATAAAGACAGCAATGTATCAATCATTGTTCTTTCCAGGGATGTGTTTATTCTGGAAGATTTTTCCTTAGGCTCATGTAGCCAGCATCAAACAATATTGTGAGTTAGACAAAACTTGTCTTGGACTTCTCTGTATTTTCTTCCATTCAGCTTTTTAAAAATAAAAACACAGTGTTTTTTCTTTTTTTCTCTGGTCCATCCCAGCCTGAAAACTGGCTCTCATTTGACACCTCAGTTTAAACCTTACTCTCTCCCAAAGTATTTCTATTTGAAGTCCTTTTAATTGGTGTGTATAAGAACCTCTCTGAAAGGGATTATTTTAACAGTGAGTAGAGAGGGGAATTATTTGAAGATCAAGGAACCCTTCCTAGAGTATCTCTAATTTCAAAACCGAGTCTGCCTTTATGTAAGGTACACTTTGTTCGTATCCAGCCTATTTCTTAAGTTCTCAGCATACTCTTTTCCCCTTCTCAAAGCCCTAGGTTAAAGTTTTAGTGGACGAGAAAAGTGTGAGAGAATGTGAGAATATAATGATGATCACCAAGCAAATAGTACATTCCTGCAAAGTTAATTAAGGGAAGCATCAAGATACTGATTCCATAGAAGCAATCTAAGTCCCGGCTTATATTCAATTATCTATGTGATGTAAGAGAAAGTTAATTTCTCATCAATTACTACCAATTCAGAAGGGAAGTGGACCTCGACCAATTCAATGTTTATGAAAAAATCTCATTTCTCTTCATAATTGAAAGAAGCATGAGTGAAATAATCAGAATTTCCATAAATTAGTAAACTGAGGTCATTAGAAAGTTGACTGCTATAATCAAATCAACTTCACAATATACGTAAATAAACCATTATGCTGTATGCCTTAAACTTATACAGTAATATATGTCAATTGTTTCTCAATAAAACTGGGCGGCGGGGAGATCATAAAGATTGGTAGAAAAAGTAAAACTTACCCAAACTTCTAGATTCTGGAGCTAGACTTCCTGGTTTCAAATTTGTGTTCTGTCAATTGCCTCAATCCACCTCTGCGGAATAGGAATAATAATAATACCTACCTCATAGGGTTGCTGTGAGGAGCAAGTTAATATTTTAAAGTGTTTGGAACTGGTCTTGGAACTCCGTAAGTGCTTACTAAATACAATACTATAACTGTTATTTCTTTTCTGTCTCTGACGGCAACTAATTAGGTCTACAAAATGGCCTCATAAATCTGATGTATAATTCAAATTAACATTGAACTTACATCTGTAGGTCCAGTTAACTCATTGCCTTGACTGTGGTGCCAATGAAAAGGTTACTTTACTTTGTTGCATGGGTACAGGCTTCAACATTCCAAATGTGCATCTTCTTTGAAAGGCAACTGATAGAGGAGTGTGCATGAGGCATCATTTCTCAATTATGCTATAAAATGATAGAATGGTTTTGACTTCAAAGTCTATGACCATTTTTTCACAGCTTTATTGAGATATAATGTATATACTATACAATTCATCCTGTCACCAGTAAGCAACATTAGCGTTCACTGATTGGCTCTTATATCTCAGGCAATAAACACATATTGTTTCATTTAATCTTCATAAAAATCCTTTAAGGTAGATACTAGTATCCCTAATTTTATGAATAAATTAAAAGTTAAGTACTTTGCAGCTAGAGGTTGAGGTGAGGATTTAACTGTTGTTCGTATGGCTCCAATACTCTTCCCATATCATGCTGCCTCTCCTTGGAAAATTAATTTGTTGTCTTTCAGAGGTTGGCCGGGGCGGGGGAGGAACGTGCCCTTTGATGGCACTCATGGTTAGAGGAACTAATTTTTTTAACCTGTCATAAGAAAAGCCAAATAATACAAGAAATAGCAGTAACTGGAAGCTGCTTTCAGACTCTCAAATCAAGGATGACATGATAGTGCAAAATAATTTTATTATGAAGAAAATAAGCAACTATGATGCTGATACACACACTATCATGCCAGTATACACTACTTTAATTTGGAAGGGCTCAGTACTTCTTTCTAGCATAATTGCATCCATCTTTATTGCATTCCCACCAAATGAGTTAGACATTAAACATGGGGAAATGAGAGATCATGCAGGAATTCTCATCCAGTTTTTAGACTTTTCACATAATTTATATTATCCTAAAGTCAAATTTCTGGACCTCCTCATGCTTGGAAATATTTAAGCCGTTTTGCCACAATTCATTTGAAACAAATATTTAGGTGGTTCTTTTTTTTTTTTTTCTTTAGGTGGTTCTTATGTTAGGTAGCATGATGCTAACCACCAGCTGTACAGATTTAAAAAGGAAGAAGAAGAAGCAATAACAAAGATGAATCCAGTGCAGCCCAGTTACTATTTAGGGTCAGGTTTTCAAAAGGAGAGGTAATCAGTATGCTCTAGCGGACAGATAGCACGCGGGGTTTGGAACTTGGGTTATAAACTTACCTCTCCACCTACTGTGTGACCTTAGCATTTGATTTTTGAGACTCGATTTCCCCACTTGTAACATAATTGGCTACAATAAAAGCTGGTATTACTAAATAATTTTAGGTAAACACACATGGGAAGATGTGTTTTAAGAAAATGTTACTCTATAACATCGAGGATAGAGGTTTCCTCGCACGTTTCCTTCCTTTTTAGTACCTGACATTCATTATTTGATACATACTTCACACCGTGTTCACCGAGGAACTGGAACGTGTTTTTCACTGCAGTTTGGCGTCTGGGTGTGCCTGGGGAGGCGTCACAAAGAGCCTATAAAAGGTTTCCACCTACAGCAGGAGTCGAGGGCAGGAAGGAGCCCAAGAAGGGCACTGAGGCCAAGCGTTCGGTTTCGGATTGTTCTTTGTCTGGGCCAAAACTCACCGAGTTTAGGCTCTGCGACGAGCAACGAAAGGACTAGTGCCTCAGAGCTGTTAACATTTTCTGCCATATCTTAGCCGTCCCCACGCCCCCCGCCCCGCCCCACCCTCAAGCGTGAGTGAATGCGCAAATAAGGGTTTTCAGGCGCCTGTGAGAAAGAGGGAGGGAGGCAGAAGTCGAGGATGGACGGGGCGGTGGCACCGCTCTTGAGAGAGAGGCCCGAGGGCCCCCGCAGCGAAGAGTTAAAACCTGGCTGTTCCGAGCCAGAGGAGTCCAAGGCGAGATGCTGGACGCGCGGGGGCCGACTGGGGGCAGCAGACCACGGCAGCGTACTCGGCCCGCCCCCGGGACCAACTCTTGTCCCGAGGCGGCCCCCCCGCCCCAACGTCTCTTTTGGTTTCGACCTGCCGACTGGGCGGGGCCGCGGGACGCCATTCCCACAATGCTCTGGGGCGTGCCGCCGCCGTCGCTGCCGCCTCCGCTACCGCTAGTGGAAGAAGATGGCGGAAGGCGGAGCGGCGGATCTGGACATCCAGCGGTCTGACATCGCGACGCTGCTCAAAACCTCGCTCCGGAAAGGGGACACCTGGTGAGAGAAAGGGGTTGAGGTGGCCGCGGTTGCGGGAGGATGATGGAGAACTGGGCGGGAACTGCGGGCTGGTGTCTTTCGCTAGTGACAGGTGCGGGCAGGTCCGGCGGCGGCCACACTGGGCAGCAGGATTTTGGCTGCTTGCGAAATGTTGGGGCAAAGATTGGACCCGAGATGAGGGCCAGGGTTCGTGGCTTGTCGGGGCGTGCTGAGAGGCTTCAGAGGAGCGGCGACGGCGACTCATACAGTTCTTTTCGTCCTCTTTCCTTCCGTAGTGCCGCTCCCACCTCAGGCCTTCCCGAATGATAGGTTATAGTCGTTCGACGTGAGTCTCTCAATTTTTGACAGGTCCAGGTCCCGCGGCTTATCAAGATCTTACCCTCTTTCCTTCTCCAGTCATTTCCTTTCCCGGCATTGTCGGCATTCAAGTTCCTTGTTATTCTGATTCTTGTATTCTTCCGGGAGGCAGGCTGCAGGATGTTTGCGGTTCGTACTACACAGGTGGCATGTGTCAGGGCGCCACTTAAGAGAAAGAAACCCTAGTTTCCAGTTCCTTGTCAAAAGGAGGGAGAGGAGTACGGAACCTTAGGCTAATGAGAAATACCACGTGGTCTTGTGCTTTAGTGGAGGCTTGATAGAAACCGGCAGCATTTCTCTTAGAAGCGCAGCCCTTCCCTCCTGTTTGAGGGATAACGTAGGCCTGCAAAAAGTAGATAAGTCCACTTGAGGTTTAAGTCACTTGCTAATATTCAGACTTACAAAATACCAAAGGATATACTTAAAACACTGAAGGAAGTATGTGTAGTTTTTAATACTTGTCGGCCATGGTAAGTGGTATTCAGAATAACTTAAATATGTGAATATGTAACATAAAGAGCTGTTTATTAGGAAAGACAGTGTGCTTCTTTACTATAATAACAATTATTTTCATGTCCCATTGTGACCATAACAGTGGTATATAATTTACAGAGTGTTTTTTCCACGTACTCCTCTGACTTAGTGGAAGGAACGTAAGATTTAGACCTAGTTAGATCACCGTTTCACCACTTAACCTGCAATATGACTTTGAGGAGAGTTAATTTAGGTTATTGTACCTCGATGTCTTCATCTATGAAATGGAAAATAATAATTTCATTGTAGGGGTTTTATCTTGGTGCCGTGGAACATTCTGAAATATTATCTGTTTATGAGATAACATAAAATTTTAGTTACTTTATTGTCACCGCCATTTACTTCTGATAAAATGCTGTAGTATTAGGACATTTTCAAGTAAGCTAGTAGATGGCAGTCTTGGGACTTGAATTTAAGTATTTTGATCTAAGTCTTGGTACTTTTTTCCTACTCTGTTAGGCTACGTAGATTCTGTGTTTATGTGATAAAAATCCCTAAGGGTGTAAGCATACACTTGTTGCATTACAACAGAAAATATGATCTTTAGATGATTTAATAATCATTATTGTTCATGTAAGTGTGAGATGTTTATTCCTGTGCAGGAATTGGATACTTCCTAGGACACATGTTTACCTTGGTCTGTGGATTATTAAAGTTAAATTAATCCTTGCTTCCTATGTTTTGTTAAAGAACACTTAAAGATTCTTAATTCACCTAGCCTGTCACCACCTCATAAAAAGATAGATGTGGATTTCCATAAAATAGAAATCTATAAGTTTAAATATGGCTATTATTCAGGTGGATATTCTTTTTTAATGTATGTTTTTGGTATTCTGAGTAATAATTGGTGGTGTTGACACTATGGGATGATAGGAACAGTATGTGTATTGGGGGCATTAAACTTTGACATTTTTCAAATAAAAGTATTTTTGCTTTTTCACAAAGTTACTGTAAATCATTTTAAAGATCTGTTTTAAAGAATACAGGAAGTCCATAAATTTGAGTCTTCTCAGTGCTTTCATTTTAAAGAAAAGGAAACTGAAGCCCACATATTTAGATAACAGCAGAATGTGGAAATATTTTTTTTTAAGATGTATTTATTTGAGAAGGGGTGGGAGGGGCAGTGGGGGAGAGTCCTTTTTTAAGCAGGTTCCCCACTGAGTGGGGAGCCTGACGCGGGGCTCAATCTCACGACCCTGAGAGACCCTGAGATCACGACCTGAGCTGAAACCAAGAGTCAGATGCTTAACCAACTGTGCCACCCAGGTGCCCCAGAATGTGAAAATTTTTGTCCTTGATTGATTACCCCTCTTAGTTAAAGGAAAAAAATGCAGGAGCAGGATGGTACTGTGGATTTGCAAAAACCAGTTTGGTTTATATGTAAGCCAGTTAATTTGCAATTAGGTGAAATCTGTCAAAAAAGGAAATAGTTTAGAGCAAAAGTTTGATTCAGAGTTTTAGGGAGAATAATTTGAGAAGTACACATTTCATTATGTATGCATGATTACAGAACTGGTAAAGATTTAATAATTGTTACTTGGGCTCATGTTTTTGGGACTCATTAAAACTTGTTTTTAACTTGTAAAAAAGTTATTTCTATTTTTAATGTCTTTTTAAAAGATGTTTGGATTAGTCATTTATGGTTATTTGGACAAATCCAGTCCGCTGTTTTATAGCTGAAATGGGCCATATGCAGATGGGACATTATCTTGGTATATGTGTGTAACCATCTTGAAAAAGACTGATGACTATTGAGAAAAAAACGGAAGGTTTACTATAAGTTTATTCTTGAAAGCTTAATACTAATATTTGATGTTATGGTCAAGTGCCTTAAAATGAATAAACTAATGAAAATGAAACTATTTTCATTAAGTAGTTTGTAAGCACTTTTTGAATAAGGATTGTTTGATAGTTCTCTGGTAGATAACTAACAGGCAATATTTGATTCTGCTTGAAAACTAGTTTCTGTTTATTTGTAAATAATGAATGATTTTTATCTGCCAACTGAGTTTCTAGAGATGAAAGTAAGTACACAAGTCTGAGACGAGGAAGAACAAACTTTATGATATGCTTAATACTAGACTTTATAGTGACAAGTCAAAATTGATGCAGGAGAGTTATACCTCTTAAAAAGGTGAGGTATGAAAGTGACACTGATCTGCGTTAGAAGGAGTATAAAGTAGTCTCATAATGCTGTTTCTTAAACTGTGTTTTATTTTATTTTATTTTTTTCTTAAACTGTATTTTAGCTCAAAGGAGGTATTCAGAAAACCATGAACAAGATTAAGATTGTTTGAATTTAGTAACTATAGAAATAAAGATAAAGGAACTAGAACTTGTTTAACTTAGATTGAATGAAAGTTAAATTGATCTTCAGATACTTGGTTTCTCTTGATGAGACAAAAGGAAAAATTATTTTAAGTACATTACATGTTAAGTATATTAGGGATAGAGGAACCTATTTAAGGGGGATGGGTAATTAAATAAATGAGTTACAAAGGCAAGTTGTGGGTTAAGGAATACTCTCTTTGGAGATATAAGTAAACAGATAACTACAGATCATCAAAATCACTGCTTTATTTCCCCATTTTTATTAAATGTTACTCTTCTACCAGTCATTTTCACTAATTTTTTATGTATGATGTTTTAAATTTTTATGTATGTTCAATGGTATTGCATAGCTAACTTTACAAATTAAATTTTGTGTGTCATTATTGCATAAACCCTAATAACTCTAGTAGATTTAAGGTACTTCAGAGAGTAACTTTAATTTGTATTTAGAGTCATTTCAAATATGTATGGTATTTTTGTTTCAATAAATAGGCAAGGAATAGTCCATCAGATCATTGAGGTTTTCAGATTAGAAGACATTCAGTTTTAGGGCTTTGCTTTGATTCCTACTCTTTTACTTAGAAATCTTTTGAGGCTTTATTTTATATGGTCTCTTATGTTTCTGTAACTTTGATTAACACTAACAGGAAATAACCTTAAAATGACAAATCAGCTCATAATGTAAAGGGACACTATTAATGTAAACTCCAAATTGTTTAGTATATACTTGTTCAAGAAATTTTTACATTATTATTACTATAAGTATTAATTTTAGTTGTGCCAAAGTGTTAACCACTAAATTAGGGTATATATCACATCATTTGCAGGAAATGAGACCAGAAAGCAAAACGGGTTTTTTTAGTGTTGGTAAATTGGTGAAAATAAGGACAGAAATAGTGACATTATTAAGGTGTATTTTTTACATTTTAGTTGCTTAAAATATAGAAAGGCAATTTTTCCTAATTTAAGCCTTATTATAAGTTTTTAAATCACTTCTAAGTTGTTAGTGAATCCAAAATTAATGTACCTTATTTCCAGGAAGATCCAGAGCTTTTTAGTCTGTGATTTCATTTATCTCTTTCGTGACATTCAGGCTTTATTTTTTTTTTCTAAATCATACCATTTTCCCATTAGCACACATAAGGTACTAAATAAATGTTCTTTTTACAGAATAGTTTTGTGACAAACATTAATCTTGCTCACACATACGTATAAGAAAAACTTAGTTTGTCAGGCCATGATGTGTAGTATTATATTTGAAAACACCATGTGCTAGGTACCATTTTAAGTACTTACATATGTTAACTTATTTACTCATCACTACAATTCTGGGGCACTAGAATGTGAATGTGCTGTAATTCACATTTGACAGAATAGGAATCCTAGGCTCAAGTGTTCACACCATAATATGGGATTTGAACCCAAGTAATTGGGGCTTTAATTCAGGCCCCAAAATCACTTATTTTGAAGATGCATTTTATTTATTTTTTTTTTTTCAAAATTTTATTTATTTATTTGACAGAGAGAGACAGAGGTAAAGAGGGAACACAAGCAGGGAGAGTGAGAGAGGGAGAAGCAGGCTTCCCATGAAGCAGGGAGCCCGATGCGGGGCTGGATCCCAGGACCCTGGGATCATGACCTGAGATGAAGGCAGACGCTTAACGACTGAGCCACCCAGGTGCCCCTGAAGATGCATTTTAAAATGTAGTTCCACTTCAAAAGGAAAAAAAATGAACATTTTTTTCTTTTTAAGTGGAATCTATTTTATATTTAGTAGC